TAGCGGCTGAAAAAATGTGGTGACTACCATAGCAAAATCCTGTAATAACTTGTGCAACTATGTAAAAGAATCCAGATGTTTCAGTGCCTGATAGAAAGTTTGATGGAAATGTGAATTTGAATTATGTTGAAAGAAACTGGGAATACCAAGCCTGTGTAAATAAAGGGTTAAGAGAGAAGTTTTTATATGTAATGCTTAAGACTACAGAGAGAACGAAAGGCAATTAGAATGAGCTGACATGACAAGATGACAAGATCTTTTTACAAAGGGTAGTGGCTAATTGTGCATGTGAAAAAAACGGAATAGAAGATGATATTTCATCTGCTCTTCCTGCATTTGTCCCCAGCCAGGAGACAAATGTAAAACGAGGCGGAGGAAGTTTAAACCATCTGTTTCGCTTAATTATCCAGGATAGATGTGCCATTACTAATGATCAGCTGAAACACACTATTGTATTGAAAAACCACAAATTGTTCAAACTCCAGATTGAAAATAATCATAGTAAAGCATTCACTAGCATCAATCTCGCAACCCAAATGGTAATGTTCCAAAACGTATCAAAAACATCTTAGATGCATGTCATTTTCCTTGAGCTGTTGGTGCTACTTGGTACTGAATTAATTACTAATTATTCCTCAGATACTTGGATATTTCTCATCCGAGTTAGAATGAATCCCTCTTTGTGGCTCAGTATCTTCACTCCAGCGTTGAACTGTTTTAAAATAGATTAAATGTTTTTCTGTCTTATACCAAATGAGTCAGACGGTTGACAAAAGCTGCACAACCATTAATAACTTTACTTTAATGTTCCCTATTAGAGCCCCCTTTAAACTCAGGCTTGAATACAACCTCATCACCATTATCCCCCCCAAGACCTCCTCTGCCTCATTTCGGACGAGCTATCTGGGATTCTACAGCACTTTCAAAGACACCTGCCCCATCTACCTAAAAAAAAATGTAATCAATTATCAATCTATCTTAATAGAGTTAAACTAAAAATGTAACAAATGTAAAAAAGAATAAAAGCACCCCGTCTTCCATGATAATGTACAGATTCCAATCATAAATCCGCTGCATGTGCAGGGTTTCCCTGAAAGCTGCAACACAAAAAAGCTGAAAAATCTTCCCCACTTGGGCAATAAAAGCACCTGCCTCCCTCATTCGTGGTCTCTGAATATTACTTTGGCTCCGTTTTCTCCTCCACACACTCATTAACTGATGTTTGTGTCTTTCTGAAAATCCGACAATGCTAGCCTGGTCTCAGGAGAATTGCTAACCTGGGAATATCTTGCTTAACAACTGTATTGCGAGCAAGCTGATGAGAGAGGGGCTGTTTCAGAGGGTTGTGCCACTGCTATGGAAAGCAAACGCTCTTTGATAGCGTTTGAACAGGACGCGATGGGCACTTGGCTCCACTTCCTCATCCGTTCATGTTTTCATGTGTTGGAACGGGAGAAACCGTAAGTGGCATCTGTGAAAAATCAATAGCACCTGTGCGATTTCCATCTGTGGTGGCAGCTTAAACAAATTAGGACTGTTGTTTGCAGGTGATGTCACACCTTTGCAATCTGAAGAAAAAGGCAATTCAGCAGCCTTATATTCGACTGTTCCACTTACAACTTACTTGCAGTACGTACAACTACTCTATTCACAAAAATGTGTGGTTGCATGTAAGAATGCAGAGAGGAATCCAATATTTTCCTTGTCAACATAGTGCTTCGACCAAAGACCAGTTATATTTCCTAATGAGGCTGCAGACTACTGAACGTCCTGTGCTCACGTTGTAATGTTTACCTGGTTAATGGAAAACCGGTCAATCTAATGTCACTTACGTTGTTAGCACAGGATCTATTGCTGTACATGAAATTGGCTTTGGTTTAAATTAATAATCGACAATACTATATCAAAAGGATGCACTGACTTCTATAATCTGTGTTTCAGTGACTTCTGTGGATGCTTATAAATCGGTCCAACGGGTGAACGTCCTGCAGGTCAGCACACCTGTCATGGCAGGCACGACATTCCTCAGACGTTTTTGAGTTTATCCTCAGCATAACACTCCAGGACGAACTCATCTGCCAACAGACATCGGATAAGACTCTGAGACTGCAGAATTTTGAAAGTCGTCCGATTATTTGAACCGATCCACGGTTCAATTTTGACTTTCCCCCTCAGCTGACGTGACAGAAGAAAGCGTTGGGTGAGGACAGCTGGAATCTTCTGCCAAAAGAGCTGCGAGACGGGCCGAGCCATCTGCTGCTAAGACAAGTCTAAACAACCAGATGATGTCATGAGAACTACTCCCAACAGGTTTTACTTTGTAGTTACAGTTGAGCCACATGTGCCCGAAAGACATATCGAAATTGAAAACACACACACACACCAAACAAGCTCCATCATTATGGGTTAAGCTGCAAAGAAAAAAGCAAAAAAAGCAAAGCATTTGGACTTATACTTTTTCCCAAGAGTTAGAAAATCCCTTCAACCAGGGGCCTGGTCAAAATGATTTCAGTTATGTTGTCTACGGCTAAGGGTAATTAAAGCTCATTAAGTAAGTACAAGCATGTCGTTCTGCCTCAGTAAATCCAGAATAACCCACAGTAAACTGTTGCCACTCAAAGTCCACCCACTCGCATGGGACTTCGGGTTTTTTTTTCAGTCATTCCACATACTCACTGTGACAGAACACCCGATATTGAGCTTTTATTGCTCCGATTTCTTCAGGCTGCGTTTTCTAAATCGTCTCTCGCTTCACAGCAGAAACCTTAGATGCATGTCATCCACTGAAAATCTGTTAACGTCACGCGTTCTTGCAGGGTTGAAGGCTTTTTTCTTTTCTTTTTTTTTTTAAAACGCTTCCACTGTGAAACAATCAGACGTTCGTGTTTTGTTGCTGTGATTTTGCCCCTTTTCCTGTTGAATTCTGGACAAACCGTCCCAGGTGTTAATGGCTGTTGGTTTTTTAATAAACACCTCTTCCTGTGGCACAACATAAAGTTGACAGATTCAATGAGGGGGATGTATTGGATATCAAACCGGTGATAACTGAGACAGAGAGGTGGAAATAAAACTCAATCAAATCAGGAATGCTCACTGCTGGAAGCCATGTACTCAGAATAGTCTATATTCCACTATCAGGCTAGGATTCTATTTGAGACTGAAATTTATTTGCAATCATACATACCTTGAAGAAAAAAAGAAAGGTTCCAGCATTGGAGATACATCTCATTATTCTTAGAAAGCCTGCTTTTAAATCATAACCCTGTGAAGCATCTGTGATATTTCCAATCCAGATGAGAGATGTTTGTCGGAGCCTGTTCACACAGAGCAGAGGCAGCACTCTGTCACACACTGTGTCAATTTGTTAGTGCCTAGTCTGACATCTGGGGAGGGGGAGAGAAGGCGGAAATCACACAGCCTGCAAAAAGCAACATTTTATAAAACGCATCCATGGATTTCTCATGATAAGCAGTTCACACCATGTGCCTCTCAAAGAAGAGATATGAGACATTTTTTTCCATCACACATGCACACACATACTGGAGTCTTTTTTTTTTTGGTGCATAGAAATGCTGACTGTTGATGTGTAAGCACCTCTTTAGCTATTTATTTATTACAAGTATAGTTTAGGATGCTCTATATAATGCTGACTGTCTCAGAATAACTAACCTAATAACTACAAGGCTGCTTGAGTTGGTCCATCAAACTTTTATTTTAAGTGTGCCATCAAGAATTAATTGCACTTTAATTTGTTTTAATTCTTGATTAAATTGAATGAAATTAATTATTTTTACTAGCTTTTCAGTGCCACAAAAATCGTCAGACTCTACATGGATAGAATAATCTTAACAACATCCTAGGTGTAGCAGAATTATGGAAAAACTTAGTAGAAGTTCATGTTTTTGGCCATCCGCCCAGGTTTCGGTTTAGCCCTAACCCTAACCCTCTTCCTTGCTGGAAAAGTTGTTTTTTTTTCTCTCCACCCTCACCTCATGCATGCTCAGGCAGTGGCACTGTATTGATCACAATGTTGTTTGGATTCAGATGATCCACAAAGGACAGACCAATTACATAACTGCTTTATTTAATTCTCTGCAACACACAAGCACTAAGAAAAATACAGTCATATTTCTGACTAGAGATGAGAGAGAAAAAAGATGACTATAATATGATCTGGGATCTGATTAAATGCATAAAAGTGTGCTTTTGTGGTCAGGAGAGCAGGGGGGAAGCATTTCCTTGAGTCCACCCATTTTGGTTACTGCTCATTTGAGATTTATTAACAGTCCAGGCTGAGCTGAATGGTTTTCATTTAGAAGCCTGAAGCGTTTACGGACATCTGGCGAATGGAATTCAGAAATACCATGACTCCATTTTTTGTGACTTTTCCCCTCATTTGTAAAAAAATATATATATTTTTTTTTTAAATGTAGCTTTCATTCTTCCTCTTATGAGATTACCGCCAAAGAATGGTAGTTTTAAACCCAGCTGTGTCCTACAGGACCCCGCCTCCACAGGTCCGCTGACAGCCTCACGCACCATCCCAACTCAAGATGTTTAAAACAAACACACCCATAAAAAAATGAGTTGCGTTTACTTTTTGGTTGGTGGTTTTTTATGTGTTTTTGTTTTTGTTTTGTTTTTGCACATACGTGTCTACATTCCCTGCTCTCGGACGTTACTTCTCAGCGACCCAGCGGCTCTCTGGAATGAGGCTGTGAGGCGACGAGCTGCTCTCAATCCCGAATTCATCCGTGGGAGTGCAGATGGAAAGTGACCGAACTTCTCGCCGGAGTTCGGGTCAGCGGCGAGTCCACCGACCGAACACTTCGGTTGCGCTTTTTCCCTCTGTTGCCGAGAGGTGTTTTGGGGGAACAACGACGACCGTCCGCGAGAAAAGAACATCTCCATGACGTCAGCCTCTAAGTACGTCTCGTGCCACAGTGACATGCAGCTGCAGTGAAGTGTTGTAGCGTGCGCGTGCGGAATGCAGAACTTACTTGAAGGTGAGGATGCACAGGGGTCTGTAGGACTTGTGGCTCGTGTTGTCCGCCATCCTCTTGCCCCAGAAGTCGTTGCTGAAGACGTTTCGGAGGCTGGACCCCGGTCGGACGTCCGGGTTGTTGACGATAGCCCAAACGTCGTCGTGCACCAACTCCCCTCGGAGAGAGTTGCCGTAGCAGAGGGCGCACAGAGCGGCCAGCACGGCGTAGCGACCCGCAGCCCACGCCGCCTCCGGCCGGACGGCCATTCGCGGCTGCTGGCGGGCTTTCTTCTCCCGTCCCGGCGCTGTCATGTCGGGCCTGGTTTCCCCCGCGGTTCTGCTGGGCTCAGGGAGACGTAGGCACCGCAGAGCACAACCATCCCGCCCGGCAGGTAGCGTCTGATTGTGCTGTGGACCGTCGGCAAGGTTTGGATGTATTGAGTTGCTTTCGGGTGTCGTCAGGAAATGTGGGAATAAAGCGCGACTTTCTAAAGAGAGACTGGTTTTCTTTTAAATGACTGTCTTTACTCTTTCTTACGTATACAATCACTTTCTGGTTAACATGGTAATATACCTCTCAAGTTCAACTTATTCCTGTTGTTAGTTTAATGAACCTGAAATTCACAAAAATCTGAATTCACTTTGTTTATAAGCTTTCAAACAAATTTTCCACCCCGAATGAACTCCCTAATATGATATGAGTAATCAAAAATAGTTAATAAACATCAGCCCGATTTTTTGTTGTTAGAAGTAAGGTCCTCTGGGGCAAATCGTGCTGTCTGCGTGGAGACAAGTAGTTAAAGGAAACACAGCCTGTGACTGAGATTTATTCCCCATTCTTGCGAAATAACTGTAGCTCTCCAGTTTCAAATAAGCTACTAAAAGCACACCGTTGAAATGCGTCTGTTTACTTGGGGTACCTGAATGCGTCACCGTCATTGAAAACCCGCCTGCAGACGCATGCGCAAAGAGAGGCAGCACAAACTCACAGCTCAGATCCCTAGCTACCCGACCTTTCCTCCATCAGCCAGCGGAGCCTGAGAGGCTGTAGCCCCTAACAGGACCAGCAGAGCGGCCCACATGTGAGGGGGAAGCACGGTATCAGGCTGCTCATATTTGGCCTTCAAATAATCCACGACAAGCTCCATCTTCTCAGTGTTTTAGGATGATGCCATTTTTATTTTTGCATGTTTATTGGGGATTCTAATAAAGTAGTTTGGTGAAACTAATCGTGCCATATGAGATCCTGTTTCTTAAACGTTCCATTCTCTCATTTGATGAAGGTTTCATTAAAAAGAGAATAACGACACAATCCATTCCATATCACATATTCTTCCTGTATTCCTCGGTAATTTTGATATCACCATTGCAACCACTAAACACTCATGAGTAACAGTGCAACCACCATCTTCACTTTGAAATAGTTTCTGGACACTTGATTTTTTATTTTTTATTCTAAAATCTATTGTACTCATTCCCAAACAACGAAAGTAAAAAAAAAGATCCACTTCAGCATAATCTAACCTGAGTTTCACCATGTAGGAAAAGCTTTAAACTCACTTTTTCTTATTCCTATACATTTGGCCCACTTTTTAAAAACAATACACT